ACGAGACAATTTGAACTTTCATCGAGTAGATTTGAGGACGTACATATTGATATAGTGATAATACCATTGTCAGAAGGATATCGGTATTGCCTGACATGCGTCGACAGATTTTCTAGATGGCCGGAAGCAATTCCAATTAGAGATCAAGAAGCCTCCACCGTAGCGCGAGCCTTCTATTCTAATTGGATTGCAAGATTTGGTATACCGCTGCGGCTAACGTCAGACCACGGAAGGCAGTTCGAGTCACGGATATTCAGTCAACTAAATCAGCTGCTGGGAACGAGTCATTACAAGACTACGGCATACCATCCAAAGCCAATGGGATGGTTGAAAGATTCCACCGCCAGCTCAAAGCAGCTATTAGATGCCATAGCAGTAAAAGATGGACAGAAATATTACCGACGGTTATGTTAGGAATTCGTGCAGCATGGAAGGGGATCTGCAAGCTATTGTTGCGGAAATGGTATATGGCGAAGCCTTGCAATTGCCTGGACCAATGCTACACGTAACACCGACGAGTTATTACGGCGAAAAAAACTTTATGAATGACCTGCGTAACCACATGCAAAAGATATGCCCCACCAATGGAACGCGACATGGCCAGAAGATAACGTTTGTCTTTAAAGATTTAATGACTGCGGAGAGCGTTTTCATTCGATGGCCCAAAAAGACCTCTGCAGAATCCATATGAGAGTCCTTTTGAGGTAAACCCAGATCTGCAGAGACTTTTGTGGTGTGTATGCATGGCAAAAATGTCACCATATCTATCGACCGTATGAAACCAGCATGCACACTAGCGCCAGAAGAAAATGCTGAATCCGTTCCGTCGCAGTCTAATGAGATTCCGTAAACAATCCGGCTGGAATCTGATAACAACAGCAGATCTCAGCCGTTGAGCCCGACAGAGCCTGAGCCAATTGCACAACCAAACTCTTCAACGAGACGAGGACGCCGAGTTCGGTTTCCGGATTTTTCGCAGGCCGGATTTTTGTGAACTTCGTCACTAGAGGGGGAGTATTGTAAGCGTATGGCAACGTCGCTATGTTAAGGGTCGTGCCTGATGGTGCGTACGGATGGTAGAACAGGCAGTCGGTCCCGGGTAGTTGTCGCGATAAGATATCTCTGTACATAAACTGTTAATAAACCATTATTATAAATTATAATACGCATTTCATTGGTAATATACCAAAGCATAAATCTTATTTTTAATGAGAAACCAAACTAATGCTATAAAAAACTCCAGTACACATAGAACGCCAGCAATAGACGGTATTCCTTATGAATTTTATAAAAAATATAGCGATGAGATTACACCGACTTTGGTTGAAATTTTAAATGAATATCTAAAAAACCAGAAAAGATTAATAGAGATTTTGTTGAAGGTGTAATAATACTAATACCCAAAATTAAAAATGCAAAAATACGAAGATTTTAGACCGATAACACTTTTGAATACAGATACGAAACTATTGTGCAAAATAATTGCCAATATATTAAAGGACAGCGTACAACCAATTTTAAACAAAGGACAGGCATGTTGTGTAGATGAAAAAAATATAACTGAAAACCTTGTAACTATCAGAAACCTAATCATATATTGTAACAATAAAAACAAATGAAAGTGCTGCCTTAATAATATAGATTTTCAAAAGGCCTTTGATATGTTATCGCATGAATATTTATTTAAAGTTTTAGAGAAAATTTCAGTACCAGAAAAATTTAACAAATATATAAAAAACTTATATAAAATGCATCGTCAAAAATATTAATAAATGGTTATTTATCTAATGAAATCAAAATTGGTAGGTCAGTAAGACAAGGATGTCCTCTCTCGATGATTTTATTTGTGATCGCCTTAGATCCATTGCTTGTGGATTTATCGAGGGAATTAAAAGGATTACAAATAATGCAAAAAAAGATTAAAGTTTTAGCACACGCAGACGATGTATCCATATTAGTTAAAAATAATGAAGAAGAATTAATAGCAATAAATATAGTTGAAAAATTTTGCAGTATTTCGGGTTCCATGATTAATAAACAAAAATCAACTTTCCTTTTAATTGGTAACAAAAGAGACAGAGAAAGCAATAATTTAAAAGAAATGATTAATGAAAACTGGGAAATAATAATAAATAAAATAAGGATAACTTTGAACATAAAATTGTCAAGGAGATTAATTTGATTCAAAAAGTTTGGCATGTAAATTATTATGTGCTTTCAAAATTATGGTATATACCCCAAGCGCTTACTATGAGAACCTTAGATGCACAAAAAGTAGATTAATAGGTTACTACTTGTGAAATAATTATAAAATAAGAATAAATAGAAAACAATTAAGATTAAATGATTCAAAAGGAGGTCTGAGTTTAATAGATACTGAAGAAAAAAGTGAAGAGTTAATGTTAAGACAAATAGTAAAATGCTATAAAACTAATAATATTAATAGTGAATTTATCAAATTATGGTCACAACAAAACAATTCACCACATGCTATTGAAAAAAGATTGGAAGTAATAGCCAACAACGCAGAATGGTTTGATAGAGAAATAACGACAAAACAAATTTATAATACATTAATTACAGAACATATTCCTAAAATAATTAGAGACAGATCCGAGTTCAATTGGGAAAATATTTGGAAAAATGTAAGGAATAAAAATATTTCAACGGAATGGCAAGTTCGAATTATAAAATTGTTGATGAATGCGCTAAATTGAAAAATGGGTTATATAAAATTGTCTGATTCGGTAATCCCGAGTCAAAAAATAAGTTCTAATTAGGACCCTACGCTTCGAACTAGCTGCTTTTAGGTACATAAAGCTCTTTCCAAGTACGTAAAAACAGTTACAAGCTCTTTTAGAATCGAAAGTACTACAAATAAACACATTATATTTTTGACATATACAACATAACCTCACCACTAGCAGAACATCTGAAAAATGCTTAAATTTACATGTTTGTTTAAATGTATAAACAGAATATATGATATGTCAAATCTCCAATTTCTCATGTAAATAATTAAACATAATTAAATGTATTACAACTAATAATAAAGTGTAATAAAAAAAACATTTTAATAATAAAATTTATTAAGTACATAACATACATAAAAGAAACTAATTATTTTTAACTCTTTGTTGCCTTTTTTTTACTCTAATTCATACTTATTTATAGGTAATCCTACATAAATATTTCCATCAATATTGATATATATACAAACATATAGTAATGATTTTACAGGAATAGCAATGAAGCTTTTTTTTCTTGTACATTTTTTTATAAATGAATAATTTAAACTTTTATATTTGTGACCTTTGCCGATGAAGCAATCTTCAATATTGGATTCTTCCACAATAGCAAAATGTTCATTATTAATTTTTAAAAAATAATGCAAGAATCCAATATTGTATTTGTTATTTAAATTGTAAGAAATAGCACTGGAATAAGTTTGCATGTTATTCCTGTACATTTCAGCAATAAATAATTGATCATTCTTCAAAACTCGAAGATAGTATTTTAAAGAAATGTTTTCAACTGTAATGTTAGAGGTTCGAAGTGCAACCTCTACTTTGCTTGGAAACTCTTTAAATACTTTATATACTCCAACACTATAAGTATGTTCAAATATTTTTCAATTATCTTCACCTGTTTTTTTCTTTTTAAGCAAAACTCTTTAACTTCCTTATTTTTCATACATTCAATTATTTTCTCCTTCTTTATATAAAATTCTTGAGATTTGCTTACTTGAGAATCAATATGCCGTGTTCCATGAATTAATTTTAATAATTGGCCATTTATATCCTCATATTCGAAACAAGAATATACCCACAATGGTCCAAGATTCTGTACACAGTCTGGTAAATGTAATAATTGATGTACATTTATGGAGCAGTACATTTCACCATACAAGTATTCAAAACATTTAACATATTTGTGTAAAAAATCTCTAGCAACATCAAGTTTATACAAAGATATAGTATTGGAATTCAAAATCGAAATTCCAGCCACGAGCAACACATAATGTTCAAAATATTGTGGTGCAAGAATTCCATACAAAACAGGTAACGAGTAATGAAAGAACCACAATTTTAATTCTGATGCTTTCCAATGTAGTAACTCTGTAACACTTCGAGGCATCCGATGCACAAATTTGGGTGGTTTTATTGATTTTAATCTAGCATCAATTACATTTATCACGGCATATAAAGAAAAAGGCTTATTTTTAAATTCAGTATTGAAAAATAAAGATAACAATTTTTTTACAACACCACCTTCTACACAATGCATCCTATCAATGGCCATCCCCATGACATAATCAGGCATAATCAGTGAAAGTGCTGTGGGACCTTTGATTCCCATTATTGGTGCATCTCTTGAAGCATTGTCAGCAAATGATCTGCAATTTTGTAATGTTCTTTTCTCAATATTATTAGTATATGGGTATACGTGAACATTACCACCTGTTTCTAATGTAAAATTCATGCCTGGGCAAAAACAATATGAGCAACCGTAGTACCCGTTATACTGGACAAAATTTAAACAATCACTTCTAGCAGGCAAATCACAAGTGCCCAACAAAAGAATACCCTTGACTGTAATATTAATTCTCCGACATGGTATGTAAACCTCAATACCATTGACAAGTTTCTTTAGATCATCATAAAACACATGAAAAAAATAATTCATATTAGGCTTTTTGTCTCCATACCAAAGACCTAATAATAATGTATTTTCCCTTTTTTTGCGTTCCTTAATAGGTAACTCATTAAGTGTTAGATAAATAGGCCATGCACTGATTTTTGAGGATTTAAATACTGGTATGCCGTCTGTATACCAAGTGAATGAAATATTGTCAGGGTTACAAAGAAAGCCCTTTTGTACATATTTACGGTATAAAACACCATCATAGACATCAGATATACAATCTGGGTTATTATTTATCCGCTTATTATGGCAATCTTGTAGCTTCGAATAAAATCCATCTCTCTTGTACATTTCTCTCAAGTGTTCAAGAAATGGTAATTGAATAAAATATGGATTTTTTTTGGGGGGCATGATGGACAAATGCTGTCAGATTCCAGTTGCACTCGTCCACAGAAATGGCAATAGTAATGTTTAATAAATTCAGAATGATCTAAAGAAAAATATTTTCTAAATTTGTACAGACTGTTTTTAACCAGTCTACTTTTCATACAATGCAAATTAATAACAGCAATTATATCAGCTATGCACTCTAGTGAAACGTTATGACGTAAAAAAATCATTAATATGAGAAACATGCTATTTGATACTGTTATTGGAGCATTTTCGTAAACCTGTTCATCAAAATTGACTTCTCTCTCTTCGGGTTGATCTAATTCAGATTCATCTTCCACTTCAAACACACATTTATGTTCAAGTTCATCTTCTTGATCATTTTGTTGAGAATAATCATAAACATCATTTTCAAGAATAGTATCATATCGTACACCATCATCACTGTAAAACGTATAATTAGACAAATTGATATGTGTAACAAAAATACAAAAAATAATTGATTTATAAAATGAAATGAAATCTACATGCTTACCGTGTGAGAGTTGAAATATTTTCAACTAAGTTTATAGATTCTCTATTATTTTCTCTATTAAAAGCTTGCATTAGCCGTTTTCGCATTTGTCGAGGGCCAACTTGATCTATAGATTTCCTTGGTATCATTTTAATACTTATATAAATGACAATTAATATATAAAACAACTCAAAAAATGAAAACACCAAAATTGCAAACACAAAAAACTGTATATGCAACGAAATTCAATGTGCACGTACATTTCGCGCCATAAAAGCTTAACAAGTTGTCTGCCGACCACTCTGAATGCCTATGTTCATTTTTTTTATGTTATAATTATAGCAAACTGAAAATTATGTGATCATAAAAAATATAACATAAATAAATAAAAATATAATTTACATTAATTTTAATCTAAATAAATGATAATATAACATAAATAATGATATAAATAAAGACGAAAAAACACATAATGCAGAAAGGCAGAAAGACATAAATAAATAATACTATTATTTACATTAATTTTAACATAAATACATAATAATATAACATAATAATAACATAAATAAAGACGAAGGAACACATAATGCATAAAAGTAGCGAAACTACGGTCGGCGGTCAACTTGTTATCAACATCTGGTTTTTGAAACATAGTAAAATCCCGAGAATAGCGAAATGGCGTTGGCGTCGGTAGAGTGATTTGATCATTTGCGCGCGGTTTACTTGTTGGGTTTCGTTTTTGCTTTAAATTGTGTTATTTAAATTTAATTATTAAATTTATTTAATTATTAAAAATGCCTAGAACAAAAATGTTTGCGTTAGTGTTGTGGATGGAATCAAATCCACGTTGTACCGATATATTTCCTTTGAGGAGTATTTGCCCTACTGATAGGTATGTAAATGCAATCACAAAATTAAAGTGGAAAACAAGCAACAATGTTAAGGCAGGCAGAGGCGAAGCAAAGGTTTTGGCTATTAGCGGTATGTATATCTCAATGATTATTTTATAAAATGTATTAAATTTATTTTTAACTGAAAATATTGAATTTTAGATGATATGCAATTCTTGAACAATATGATTGTTAGTGTGGATGGCGACATAAATGTTCCTGCTAACAAAATATTTATGGCAAACATTGTTCAGGAAAATGCATCTTTACAAGAAAATCGAAAGGTAGAGCAGATAGTTGCTCTATCGAATCGAAAAGTTATGGATGCCAGGCTAAGGGTTAAGCCAACTATTTTTGATGGTGGTAATGCACTTAGCCTCACTAATGTTGACCAGGAGTATGTGATACTTGATGATACACCCATCGATTATGTTGACGACCAAGGCAACGTGCTTATTATTAATGGAGCTCCTGAGTCTACACATGAGATTCAGGAAATAATTAATGTGAATGACAGTGATTCTGAAGAGAGTTGTAGTTCTGCTAAATCAGCAGAACTACAGTGCTCAGAGGACAATGTTAACGCAGTCCCTCTGACAATTTCTTTTAAAGGTACAGTATAATATTTTAAAAATAATGTTTTTTATATCGAATAACTACATATTTCTATTGAATTAGTTACCCCGGAAATAATAGAGAGTGCACGTGTGTGGTTAACTGCATTGGAGGTTGCATATAAAACACAAAATGAGGTGAAGAAGATTGAGAATGTGCAATCAAATGCAATGGTCGAATCCAACTATAAATTCAAGGTAGTTATAAACTTCTCTTCATAAACCATGTAATATTTATGCAGAGCGCACCGTAAGTCTTTTTACTTTTTTCTTTATTTAAAAGGTACACAAACTCCATATGTGACCCATTCAAAAGCAAATTGACTTTTAGTTCACACTGTAATTAAGGATATAATTTATGTTCCAATCAACAATCTTTTTTCTACTTATAGATTCCAGCATGCTTCTACACTCCTGGAGAAAACATGGTAAATTAATGAATAAAATGCTTGCTTTTATAAGATATTTTCAATGCTAGGACTAAATATGTTTAATTCTGTAGGAAGAAATATCTCCAGGGTGTGGATTCTTTCTTCCCAAAAATAAAATAATATATATTGAGCAAATGTCGAAAGCAAACGGAACAGAAAATGGCTGGGTGAATGTAGTAAGGGAGGTGCTGCTTCTCGTTTATGGGGAGCAGTTGAAAAACTTCTCAGCCACTGGGATGAGGAGTAAGCGGCCTCCAATCGACCAAAATTTATTTGGAGGGTTATTTGGTAAATTTTTAAACATGCTTATATTGATATAATTGATATTATTATTAAGTATCTACTGAGGATTTGAAAAACATTAACAGCTACATAACTGAAATATAATTTATGCACATGAATCTAAACTGTTTTTAATGAAATAAATTGATATTTGTAAATGTGAATAGTATTAATGCAAGTATTATTTTTTCCAGATTGGTGCCGTCGATTGAAATTTATGCTGGACAAAAAGTCATTTATACATTACGTAAATAAATGTTGTGCCAATAAACGGGCAAATAAAAAATAAATATAAAATGTGTTTAAATTACTTATTTATATATGTACCTACTTCAAAGACCTTATAAATACATATATAATTGCAATCCATATGTATTATAAGGCCTATGACCTACCTACATTTTTATAAAATTTCAGGAAAATTTTAAAATCGTAATAACCTAACCTCAAACTTACACCCTGACAGTTTTGACATTTATTTATGCTCTTTTAAGTAGCTATAGTACCTTGAAAATGCAGGCTCTTTTAGGTAAATTACGTTCCTAAAACTGCACTAAGTGGGGTCTAATGTACCTAAAAGATCTTAAATTTATATGGCGAAAAGTGGTTAATTCTCAGGTTTCGGAACTGTTTTGAGTACTTAAAAGATTTTAAATTTCGACTCGGGATGTGTTTAAAATGTATGAAGAAAGATAATATTAACTACTACTTAACTGAATGTGGACAAAAAATTAGGTATGCGATTGGTTAAGAAAGAAATTGGAAAAAATCAGCAAGAATGATAGAAGACAATAACAAATTATTAAAATTGATATTAAAAATAGACCAAACGATATACTTAATACTTTTGTTTGGCGCCTATCTGGCGTTCTATACAATTTGTTAGAAGGAATAGAAAAAGTCACAATAATTGAAAAGAACTTAAGGTTGAAAAGACAAGAAGAAATTAAAAGGAAGAATGAAATTTTGGTTATTATTTATATAATATATTGTAAATTCTATGCAATGTAATGTAAAATTATAAATGTATATTTGAATAAATAAAGAAGTTAAAAAAAAAACGTTATGTATACCGATAGATATTATACTAGTATCCTTTAGCAGAGGATTTGGTAAAGATGAAATTGCATCTCATTTATCGAGATTCGTAAAACAAAATTTTCAGAGGAAAAATAAACTATAGCTTATAGAAAAAATAATATTACACGTCTTGCGTGGAAGGACAAAAGAATTATCACATTATAATTGCGGAGCAATTATACACATACGGAAATGCAATCAACATACAGAAAGTTAGGTGGTGGAAATATTATATCCATTGATAAGCCATTGATTATAATATTGTAATTTAATCTATAAGTTTTTGGTCTTCGATAATTGTGATAAAAAGTTTTTAATAAAAAGAACTATTTTTAGATTTTACTACTATTTTTTTGGACATTTATTTGGGGAATTATTTTTTCTTTGTGAAAGTCACTGGAGAATCAATTGAAATCTCGTCTACTACAACTTCTCATGCTATTTGTTCATTGCAAAGTGTTTTGTCAGTACGTAGATACAAATTTAGATCAAAAGTTGTTGAGATAAATTAATTTAGTGAAATAACTGTTTTAGAATAGATATTATTAGTTCAGTGCGAAGTTATTTCTCAACACGTAGATACAATTTTAGAGTAAAGTTTGATAAATTTGTGCTTGTGTAAAACTATAAATTGACTAAAATAATTATTTGAGAATAGAAATTCAGTGCGGAGTTTCTTCAATAAGTAGATACAAATTTAGAAAGGTTGTTGAATTTGCAAATTGTTGACTTTAAAACAATCGTTTTGAATCATAAGTATGAATTCAGAAACCAATACCCTAGTAGAAACGAATATGAGCTGAATATGTTTTTTATGTAAGCTAAATATTGTTTCTAATATTGAGCTAATATGATTTTGTTAACATTCGGTCATATTCCGCTCAGATTCGTAATGAGGGACGAATGCGGGAATATGATATTTAGCTTATATGATTTGCTTAACATTTCTCCATATTACTCCCGCATTCCGAATATGAGGAGAATAGGTAAAAATAATATTTATACCATATTGAAAAACATATATAAACCATATTCAAAATTATTGATCCTTCATTCTGAAATATTAAATATATATTCATTTAAAAGAAAAAATAATATTATTTAATTAGATTGGACAAACAGCATTAATAAAAAAATTTATTTATATAGTATTTACAATATAACTTACATACACACAAACGCCATTTTGAGGTTAATGCATGTAAATACTTACATTGCATGCATATATAGAATTTATATTATTATAGTACGAAGGCATTATATTGACATTATACTCTACACTATACTACAATATTAATATTATATATCTAAATAAAACATCCTAAATAGTTCAAAACATGTGAATTGTGAAAAATATTTTTTGATATTTCAATTATAAGTAAATAACTCTGACGCGTAGAATTTGGCGCCATAATTCATCATAGAGAGTGCATTCTATGCCATCTACAGCGCTTTGGATGCAATGCGTGTCTACGATGCAATGGCTTAGGTAATTCTTTCCCGCGTTCTCGTATTGTGCATTGTGTTTTGTGTCTAGAAAATTCCGCGTGTTCGTATTGTGTTTCATAGTTTTTCATAGTTTTTTACAGTTTGTGTATAACAATTTTTATTAAAATGGAGGTAAGTTGTTAAATTGAAATAAGTATAATTATAAACAAATATTCAGTTAAGTATCATTAAAATTTGTTGGCAGCCGACATGGGATGTCGTAATTTACGATAAGGAAGATAAATGTGGGCACATACCTTCTTCGTGGGCTCTACCAATGCCCAAACCAAATATTTGTGGCCCACAGATATTTCTGCTTTGAAGGTACAAAAAATGATTAAGAAGTGTATGACCCTTCCTGATA